ATTAGCATAAAGAATGCACTTCTCGATCAAATTATATATATATATATATATATATAATTGCAAAATCCCTGTTTAGAGCAGATGTAATAACTAACCCATGCAAGTGTGTAGGCGGTCTCATACACAAAGCGTCGATGGCCAACTTGCAGGCCGTCACAGCTCTCTCTTTTCTTCTAGTCGTTTATGGTCGGCATCTCAGTAATGTCAAAGGAACTGTTACGTGTGGTAACTCCCAATTTCCCCCCTCAGCGCTTATAGATCTCGCCAAAAGTCAGGTATATGCGCATCACTGTTCTTTGTTCTCTACAGGCAATGCATGCTAAATATCAATTCAGATTGTGTTGTTCTTAAATCCGGCTATCAATATCAATCCCAAATTTGATCAACAAATATCATAATAAAATTAGAAAAAACTCATCAAGTGTCATTTAAAAAAGACAACAAATAGTCTATCTACATATTTCACTGAACTCACTTAACCATCCGAAGTATATATCCATTCAAATCTAATTTGAGTATCCATTTTTTTACTAAGATCTTGTTGGAAAGATTCAAGTGTGTGGTATTGCTATATCAATCCCAAATTTGATCAACAAATATCTTAATATAATATAAGTGTGTTGATTAAACATAAGTACTATAAAAATCCATTTGGTATAATCTAAGAACGACAACACATGGTATATCTATATATTTCACTCTGCTAATTTTCTACGTCCAATTAACCATTCAGAATATTATAACCATATAAATCTAACTTGAGTATCTATTTTTTTTTTAATAAAAATCTTGATATGGATTACAAGAATCATAGATATATAATGAGTTTTGCCAAAACCTCAACGCCAAGTCTTTTGAATTGTTTTGATGTTGAATCTTGGATGTTTTTCTAAAAAGGCTCTTTATGAGCTTTTTTCCAAAAACTATCCTTTTCTTAGTTTTTTAATTTGGTTACCTTTTTTCCTTAGTATCCTAAATACCCCTTCCACGACCAATTGTCTGTTGCATCGGTCGCTTTTGCCATGAGGCTCCCATCATCTCTATCTTGTAGTCATTCGTCCTATCACGAGGGCCTCATTCCTATTTATAAGGTCTCATCATTTTCATCCCATCGTCGGATCCTGTTATCTTTGTGTTCCTAAGTTTGAAGAGAAAAGAAAAAATTTTTGAGTATAAAGAGAGAAGAGAAGAAGACAACCACACAATGAAAATGATGAGACCTCAAGATAGGTGAAGGTGACGATGAGAGACATTTAAGATATTAAAAAAAATCAAATAAAAAAACTAAAAACTTTACATCTTTTAGGAAAATCTAAAGAAACACCAAATGATAATACTAAAAACTTGCAAGGCAACCTTTTTCTTAGATCTATAGCTGTTAACTATCGATCTAAATCAGTGGGCTAATATATTTGTCATTGCAGGTGGACTACATCCTTGGAGATAACCCACTGAATATGTCGTACATGGTGGGCTACGGCAACAAGTTTCCTCAGAGAATCCACCACAGAGCTGCCTCTGTTCCCTCTGTTGACCAACACCCACAGCACCTCTATTGCAAGGACGGGACACCGTATTACGAAACCGACGCCCCCAACCCCAACTTGCTTGTCGGAGCCCTCTCCGGTGGACCAAATGATGGATCCGATGAATATTTGGACTACCGACCATGGGCGAACCAATCCGAACCTGCCACGTACATGAACGCGCCCTTCGTGGGTCTATTGGCTTACTTTAGCAGATATGGATGATTCCTTTGTACATAAACTTCCTTTGTGGAAAGCCAGTATCATACATTCCAAGTTAAAGAGAATATTATAAGATGCATGCAATGATCGAATGCATGACATAATAATGATGCTTTTGCCCCTTTATACATTTGTTTATTGATAAAACATCACATCTCGGTTGATTGATATAAATCTAATCTAAGCATGCCTAAATATGATTTGAGTCAAGATTTGATAGAGGTTAAGGTGTAGATTAACCCTTATGAACATTTATCATTTGGGTGGTACACATATTAACCAATCCCAACTAAAGATATGATAGAATGGTATCAAAGCGAGTAAACATTGAATTATCATGTCAGGATAGTGTGGCAAAACTGGCACTACTATATAGTACGGGCAACAATAATATGTGGTCATTCTAGAGAAATAAGTATTCAGCACAAAAACTAGCAAAGACGCTCAAGTGGTGTATGGCATTTGCAATGATGTTTCCACAATGCAAAAGTTCTCTCATGCAGAAGAGGCAAAAGTTGGCAACATAGAGGCACTAAAAAAAGAGTGGTCGAGTTGGAGCTGTGGCTCGACCTTGTCAACTGAAAGTTGTTGAATCTCTACAAAAGTGGGGAGCTTCTTGAGATGGTAGAGTCCATGCAAACAGGATTGGAACCTTAATTAGATTGCTAGACATTAGAGTCGAAAGGTTGACAAATGACATAAGAGAGTCTGTGCAATACATACAAGGCCAAATAAGGAACTTCACAGCTCAAGTGTTAGGTACTCATGCGAGTGGAGTGTCACGCAACCATCTCTCATTGAGATTAAGGGCTCCTAAAATGCAATGCTACAAGGGTGCTTAGGATAACAAGGAAACTTTCTCTTCGAATTGGAATAATACTTAAGAGAGACCCAACCTAAATCAAAAGCTTGCAAGGTGTTGTTAGCAATGATGTATCTCAACTGTCATGCAAAACTATGGTGGCGTACATGGTGGGAAGAAATGTTGGGAAGCCATGAAGAGGGAATTGTAAACTCAATTCATGCTAGAGAACGCAACGTCCATTGCATGGTGAAACTTGCGACAACTTCGCTAAATCTTGACTCTTCGAGATCATGTGAAATAATTTTATATATTGATACTAGACATCCAAGGTATGTCCAAGAAAGACAATTTTTTGCTTCCTCAATGGTCTAAAACTGTGGACTTAGCAGGAGTTGTATTGTCGAAATGTTCGTGAGCTAGCACATGCAATCACTAAGGCGAAATGACTCATAGATTCATCCGCAAAGATGATAGAGAAATAACACTCATCGGAGAAGGGATCTTTGAAAGCTTATAAATAGGAAGAATTTGAAGAAGAAAGGTGCTCCAACTGCACATGGATCCAGAGGGAACGTCCTAAAGTCTACCAAATATTTTTTGTGTGGTGGAAAGCTTCTAAGAAGGTTCACTATAAGGATCTCACATTACGGTGATGTAATTGTCGAATATGTTGCGAGGTCACTATAAGGATCTCACATCAGGGAGAACACTTTGTTCGTGAAAAGGGAGAAGTGCTACTTTGTTCAAATAGAGATTTTATTCTTGGGACATCGAATCGATGATGACTCTATTCGGATGGACAAATCGAAGGCGCAAGCGGTTGCAAAATGGCGAACTCCAAAGAAGGTGTCAAAGTTGAGATCCTTCCTTGGTTTCGTCAACTACTATCGACGCTTCATAACGGGGTATTTGAAGCATGCAACTCCACTGACGGAGTTGTTGGAGAAGGAACAGCCTTGGAGGTGGTCGGATAAATGCAAAGTTGCATTCCAAGATCCGAAGGTTGCTGTGTTGGAAGAACCGGTACTCAAATTGCCGAACTATGGAGAGCCCTTCGAAGTCCATACAGATGCTTCAGACTTCGCTATTGGGAGAGTACTCATGCAGGAGGGTCATCCGGTGGCTTACGAGAGCCGCAAACTCAACGAGACCGAGTGACGGTATCCGGTGCACGAGAAGGAGATGACAGCGGTGGTCCACTGTCTACGAGTTTAGCGACACTACCTTCTTGGATCGCAATTTGTGCTGAGGACAGACAACATTACTTTGAGCCATGGTTTACAGTACCGATCCGTACCGCTCGGTACGGGCGGTACGTACCGGTCCGCCAGACTTTCGGTACGCGGACCATATGTTACCGTTCCGATACTGTAGCAGTACTTAAGTTAACACTGTATCAATACTGTAGCTGTAGCAGTACTGTAGCAAACAAAAACCCTAATGCATATCCCAACGAAGAAAAGGGAGGGCGGAGGCAGCAGCGTGTGACCGAGGAAAGAGTTAGGGCATAGCAAGATCCCAAGCGAGTCCCTCAGCGTGTAATAGGAGAAACGAAGAGAGAAGATCACGAGAAAGGAGGGGAGACGAGAGGAGAAGAAAGGGGAGGAGGGCGACGAAACAGGAGAGGCAGGAGATGGAGGAGACTAGAGAGATAGAGTCGCGTTGGAGACTCGGCGAGTTCAGGGCCTCTCCAGCACGGCACAGAGAGACGGCAATCACGCCGTCCATATGTTATAAAGCGGATCTCAAAGACGGCAATCGAGAACACGGATGGATCGCAGATAGAGGGTAATCATCAAATACCCAGACTTGGAACGGATGACGTAGACGCGGCTCTGCCTCTCGCGAGCACGTGACTTTCGAGTGATCACAAGTAAAGCGTATGCAGTTCACGTGTCAGAGGTAATACACATCTCCAACCTTCGGATTTCGATCCAACGGTAGCTCTTACTTCACGGAAGCATCGCGCTCGCCCACCATATAACGACAAAGCAAATTGCGAGGGGGACGCGGTCCCCCACCGCACTTAACACGCCACGTTGCTCTAATCATGACTCACGTGCCCCTTAGCCTTTCTCGGTCAAACACCATTCGCTTCACGACACGTGGTCCGCGCAACCACTCTCACCCTCCCCTGAAGCCAGAGGAGCGGCTCGGCTACAACGAACCACAAGAAAACCCGGCTCCGCTGCGCTATCTCGAACACGAAACACAGGTTTTACAACTCGCATAAGTAGTTAAAGAAATCAAATTAAATTAATAAAACATATTTTGTTGATAGTTAGTCCTGCAATTATGGTTGAAGCAAGTTAAACTATGGAACCAAATCATTATAGTCGAAAATATTAATTAGTCCAATTAATATAATTTATGCACTAAAAAAAGAAAATAAATTTGTTGGTGTTGATGAGAATATTTATTAATTTAATTAAATTCCTTTAGCATGGGACTGTCACTACTCTTTCGTTAGGTGGGAAGCCGTTGGCTCACCCGCACGGCGTCGTTGGCCGAGCCGCCGTTACAGAGCGTATAGCTGGCTTTGATTTGGGGGTCTCTATAAATTGATCCCCTGCGTTCTCCCATTCCGCGAAGCGCTGGGGAATCGCACGCGGTGAGGAGGGTTGACGAAGGCGGCGAGGCAATCCGCGAAGATATTCCTCTGTTCCTTGTGTTCCACACCTGGGGTTTCTCTTCTTTTCGTGATCGCTTCCCGGATTTCGGTTTCCGTTACTGTGAGTCATTTCGATCTTTACGTTCTTGGCTATTAGCTCAAAAAATTAGGGCTAGGATTTTGTTGGTAGTTTAGGACGCTGAGATGCTAATCTTGAGCGCTTTGCTGCTCCAGATCTAAGATGTTTGCAGATCAATTGGTCGTAAAACATGATTAATTTTTATTTATTTTGTCTTTTTGTCTTTTGTTCAGATTCGAGATGTTTCGATTTATTTTACCTTTTGTATGCCAAAAAAGTACTTTTGTCTATTTTGTTTTCTGCAAAGACCAAATTTTATCATCTCGAGCGAGTGGATGCCGTGCTTAATTTGCTATGGACGTACGTCGAGTGTATTCTATCAAGAAAAATCGTAATTTTTTAGAGGAAAATTACCACGTATCTTGAACATAGATTTACTTTTACGATTTTTAGATTTTGATTTGTGTTTATTAGATTTGACGTAAAAACATGATGTGTTTAGAAATGTCTAGGCATTGATTAGATTACTATTTCTGTTATTTTCTGTTATTCATTCGTTCATCAATGGTTAAAGTAAAGGGTAAATCTGTTGACCTTCAGTGGAGATACACACGAATTTGTGAAAATTGACAACGTTGGTAAAATCATTGTCATTTCTGGGTTGCAGTGACCTTGATCCAAGGAAGCAGACGTGAACCGAAGCATCAATTAGCTGAGCAATGGAGGTATATGGCAAATCCATGATTGCCGAGACGAGCAATGTGATTTATTTGTCCAGTATTCTTAACAAGGAAGGGTTGATTCCTAGTCACAAATGTGACAAGAGGTGCCAAAACGAACAAGTGTTTGGAAATATGTACCGCTGCAAACTAACAGGACTGACACACATCTGCGATAAAAATTGTGACCAGAGAATTTTGTATGATAACCATAGTTCTCTTTGCAGAGTGAGTGGACAGGTTTTTCCTCTTTCGCTAGCAGAAGAGCAGGCGGTGAGAGGTTTGCGGAGGAAGCTTGAAGTGACCAACACTGATGGCTGTGCTTTTAAGCGCAGGCGAGATGCCCAGCTGCATCCTTCTCCTTTTGAGAGGGCTTTTTCTGCAGTCTCTCCAATATGCAATCCAATTGGAGATGGCATGGATATGAGTTAGAGCTTATTAGTTCCGACCATTTCGTTTCTCCCTTTGTTTCTTCTCTTGCCAACTTTCATTTGGATAGAGTCCAGAACTTCTGTTCTATTATGGGACCTGGAGATATTCTGTTTATGTTATATGTAGGGAGTCTGTAGTAACTTCTAATTGGTACTGTTCTGCTGTAACTGTTTAATTTGAACTTTGTCTTGGAAACCAACTATGGAGGTCTACTTCTGAGAGGGATATCATATTTGCTAATTCCAGACTTCTTCATAGATGCATCACAGACCAAGTCCTTTTAGATTCACTGCACTCTTAATTTTTTTTAACTAATCCTCTCCTATTAATTGGTTTAGAATGTCATTTGTGGTTTATTTAAATGCTTTCTCACTTGCTAATTAAGGTATTATTATATGATGAGTTTAACATTTCTATATTGTTTTATGAAATCTGATCGATTAATTCTGTTTTGCTTGTAGGTCAGTATGACAACTTAAAGAGGGCCATGTTAATTTCTTGTAATTATTAATAGTACATTTATCTTTGATTTGTTGGTACTTATACTTTTCTTATTCATTAACTTAATTCTTTGTTAACTTGACTGCAGGTTTTGTGCTATTATTCCTTTATCTGTTAATAAATTGACTTATCTTCTAACCATTTGCAGGTGGCAGTTTAGTTCTATACTTTTGAATTGTTATTTTGATTTTCATGTATGCATGTCTGAACATCTATGTTGTTTTGCAGGTCATTCAGGCACTGAGAGATCAGTATATGAAAATTGTTTTTCGCTGAATTGATTTTGATTTTAGTGCATGAAGATTCTTGAACCCTAATCTTGTATCTCCAATTTGCAGGTGCAAAATGATGGCTGCAGTCCAACAGTTTTAATCATAAGATGTGAGAAGTTGATGATTACTTCTCAAAGGCTGGCAGTGAGGTGCACTGGCTCCTGATATCCTGTCAGTAGTGAGGGGGTGTCCTTTGAAGATACTGCTGATCTAGCCAGTTAACCTTGCAGCTACTGTATTTGATATCCTGTCAGTAGTGAGGAGATGCCATTTAAAGGTATCTTGCTATTCAAACATCAGCCTGGCTCTCCAATTCATCTGGATACTCAAATGTCTTAAATCATGGGGCATTGATATAGAAACTTTCTTGAAAGAATTGAAAGGCATAAAGCTTGCTTCTACAAGCTAAGTCGGTCATTTTCATGATCACAAGGTGCAGTTCTGCCGTATGAAAGAATATAGATTGTACATTCCTTTTCTATGCGTCAGTGATATTCCTCATTTTTGTAGGCAAACATATCCAACGTTTTTTTCATGATATTATTTTATAATTGATTGGAGCAGTTTGTTTCTGCTTTTCTGTTTTTGTGGTATGTTTCTTCAATGAATTTTCTCTTTTGTTTCGTAACTGCATTAAGTTGGTATTTGTTGTTCCTAGCATCTAATGACTCTTTTAAGTTGTTCGGTCATGCAAAATACTTGAGTTTGTGAATGCGTTAAGCCCTCGGTGTGTGAACAAGGTATTTAGGTGCTTCTACTCTCTAGACAATAAGAATAATTTTTGGTTCATTGCTTGCTATCATTTATATTTCAAGAATTTATCAGAATATTGTTGAGAGTATTAAATATTTCAAGAAAGAATGGTCACTCACAGATCTAGCACAGAGTGCGTACATATCATCAAGAAAATCAAATATATGTATCTTCAAATGGTACACTTCACATGACTAGAGCTTGCTAAGCACCACCAAATCTTTTCTCGTAGTCTCAATTTTACTGGTTTGTTCATGTCCTCATGTTTTGGTTTCCTAAAATCTGTTTGGGAGAGCATTCACGTCTTGTTGTTTCTTATGTTGATGTTTGATTCAAGGACTTGCTCTATAATTTCTAGAATTCTGTCCATGTGATTACTGTCAACTTCATAGTCACAAATATCAGCTGCATTTCTGACCTGCTCATCTGCATGTTCAAGTTGTGGCCTGAATTTGTTTTATGTTGTGAAAGATCTTACATTGTTTTATTCCCAATTAATGTTTGTCACATGAGCCTAAATCTCTAGTGAGTTGGTGTATGTTGAACATGTATCTTGAGTTCATGCCTGTCAGAAAGCCAGTCATTGATTTTTCTGTTTCCCCTAAAGTTGGGGTATTTCTTGGGATACTGATGCATGATGATCCAAAGGATTCCAAACAGCTTGAAGAGATCTCCCAGACACTCCTCTTGGTGCAGTAATCAGGTAATCGTCAGCTTTCAACCAAACATGGAAATAGGAAACCAGT